TTTTTTGTGATATTGTATTTATATTGAATATTATTGGCTTTTAAAGTTTGTGAAGCCTTTAGGTGTCCTGAACCGTACCAAATTTAAATTTTTGCATTAGATCAAAATAATAATAATGCCATTAATAAACTACCCAATATAGGGTTTTACTCTAACCCTAATTAAACTCGGTTTTGAAAATTTGATCTGAAACAAATTTCAATTTAATGTATAATATATATAAACTTTGGTAACAAATCTCTATTCGACTGGATACTTATTTGTTTCCAAGAATTTAATTTGTTATTTAAAATTCTATAGTATAAAAACAGTCAGAATATTTAAAATAAACCTGAATCTAAAAAGCTACTTATTTTGAATAAAGTACTATATAGACATACTATGATTTAGTATAACATAAATTAGGGTGGTGCGCATTTCGCCAACAATCACTTCACCGACAGCTTAGTTCACAGACAAAGTAATTCTGGTCATTGTTGTTAGTGTCAGTTTAGAATTAGAGCTAAGATTGGGGTAATTTAAAAAAATATTTTTCAGTGAAATGAGCTGTCAGTAAAACAATTGTCGGTGAACTAAGCTATCTGTGAAGTGATTGTCGATGAAATAACACGTATTCTATAAATTATAGGCTAAGCTGCTAAGCCATTAAAAATATAATAGCTTAGCCTAGCCGTAAAAATTTAATCGGCTTGGATCACTACATTAGGGGTAATCGATCTTACAGGGAATGAAGACATATTTACGAAGCTATTATCTTTAGAAACGAAACAAATTTTATCAAGACATTCATTTTGTAATAATGAATTTCCCAACCAAATTGGTGCAATATTGGATTAATTTGTAAGTTCATATAGTGAACTAAGAATTGATTTCGATCCGGCTTTAATGCGACCTATAAGCTTTCCCCATGGAGAGATGTCACTTGAAACTAGACGCATTCCAATGACAACTTTTGACTTGTTAGAAGGATTGTAAGTTAATACTGTAATATGAAATCGCAAATATTCTCATATCAATAATAACTTGCTATTTTTTTTTACTTCAGGCATCACATTTGGAGTTGTAGGCTATCCCTAACAGAAGAAGATTATAGCGAGAATTCTTATGTAATTCATGCAGTATCCAAAGTACTGGATCCACTTTTTACATATTTTAAATGGTTTCTAAAATGGGCATGGTCTGAACAGATGAGCAAATCTTCACAGAGTAGAAAAAATCGGATGGGTTCTGTTAATTTAGGAAAAAAACCCAACCTCCAGGCTTTATTGAAATTAGATATGAAGGAAAATAAGTTAGTTCTAGTGGAGATTTCACCTTATTTCCAGAACAAGATAAAGAAGCTTTGGATTGGAAGAAGCTGGTTCGTATTAGTAAGGATTGTTTCGATAAGCGTTATAATATTTTTTTCAAAAATAGAGAGAATACTTCTTCCAGGGCAAAGTTATTATATAGTGAATTAAGAAAATTTCCCGTCTTAGGAATCCAGGTAATAGGAGAATGTATATTTGTTTCTATGTTAGATTTATTTGAAGGTGTTTTTTATCAGGTTTATCAAACTTGCGAGATTACTATACCTTTACGAATTTTCACGCGTCAGGTTGTTGAGGAATTTTTAAGCGGTAGTCTCAAATTAAGGGCTATAGTTGAAGAGATTGTTGGAATGTCAGTAAGTATAAAGGATGAGATCAATCTTCTACCAACATGTGGAGAGCAAACCCCATCAACATCAATGATGTTGACAACATATTCTCCACCGAGAAATTCTTAAATCAGATAAATTTCTAAGAATATGTATACTTTTATTCTGTAATTAATTTTTATGTCAATAAAGCTAGCCCGGGTGGCTTGATTTTGCATACATAACTGTGTTTACTTTTGCATAGAGATGGAAAATGTTTTAAAACGGAATGTTTTAAAACATGTTTGTTTGATTTAAAACTGTTTTTTAATGATTTAAAACATTCTGACGTAATTATAAACGTAACAATAGAATAGTATTTATTTAATTGATTCATTCTGATGCAGAATGTAAAACACCAACTTATTTGCCGGCCACTTGCTGCATCAATGCCTATTGTTTGAAGTATCGTTTTGATACACCAAAGTTCAGATTTAGAATAGTGTGAATCAAAAATGATACTTTTTGAGTGGCCGGCAAATAAGTTAGTATTTTATGCCCTGTTCTAATGTAATCATAATACGTAACAATGAGATAGTATTTATTTATTTAATTAATTACGTCAAAATACAATTTTTTTGTTACCTCTTTTTTAAGATATAAAATTATA